TGGGGTCAGAGTGTCAGGGGAACTCCTTGCCCCGTCCCCTCTCAGGTACATTAGAGGCAGCGTTGCATTCCCCAGTCAGCAGGGCACTGCATTTCCCAGCCAGCAGGGAGTGGGTGGGCCAGGAGCTCCAGTGATATGCTGGCCTCGCCCCATGCAGCCTGTATTCTCAGAGCTGAGATCATAGTGGGGAGTGCTGAGCCTGGCCCCCGGACCTCTGAGAGCAGGTGGTGAACCTGGGTGGCAAGGTAGGACTTTCTCTCCATAGACTGCCTGTGGACTATTCTATCCTAAACCCTGACTTGTTTTACCAACTATATAGCTGTGCATTTTTGAAGGCAGAATTTAAAAAAAATGGCTACTTAGTTGATCATCTCCTGTAGTACATCCGCATTCTCTGACCATCTCCTCTGCAGTAAATCTGCAGTCTCTGACCATCTCCTGTAGTACATCTGCAGTCTCTGACCATCTCCTGTAGTACATCTGCAGTCTCTGACCATCTCCTGTAGTACATCTGCAGTCTCTGACCATCTCCTGTAGTACATCTGCAGTCTCTGACCATCTCCTGTAGTACATCCTCAGTCTTTGACCATCTCTGGCAGTGTTGCCAACCATCCATGTTTTTACGGACAGCCAGTAAAACTGGGCAATTTATTCTTGTCTGTAAGGGGAAATGTGCGCCAGTTAAAAAGCCTGTGGCATGCTGGGCTCGGAACTGTACATGCGCAGTTCTGGAGCTGCCCAAGACCATCCAACTGATTCCGACATGATCCGAGTGCTACTGTCATGTTGGAGTGCATTGTGCACCAGCATGAATGTCCCACTCCCACAGTATGATTTGTTGATAGTTTGCAGCAGCAAAGAAATTGTGGATCACAGCCAGGCTGCTATGGATGCCGCAGCAACTTCAAACAGGAGGAAGAGAGGACCTATTGTTGATTGGCAGGATGTGGTGCGACAAGCATCGGAATACATATATCTTGCTCATTATCTGTTATAGCTCAGCTGTCAGTCTGTCACACATGCTCCATCACACTACAGAGGACTGATCAGCAATACATTCAGTGGGTAGTTTTACACTGCCACAGAGGAGGAGAGATCCGGCTCACATGCAAGGCATGCATGGCTTATATGCCGTCTGCTTGGAGGTGGTGTGATTAAGATTGGCATGCACATACCTCCTCCAGTGTCTATCATTGCTCAGCTCAGATCTATATTGGAATGTATAGAGCACAACAGCACAGTCCATATGAACAATCTGATCTGACGTTTGGAATTACGGAGACTGACTTCCACTAAATACATAGGAACAAAGTACAATCAGTGGAGGTGGGGATGTATATGGGCCTGTCACAACCTAGTCTCCCTTTCATGCTCTGATGTATCGCCAAAGGTCAGCTGCTGTATACCCAGGGGGAGTTAGCAGATATTTCATAGCAGACTGGATCTGGCTGATGTGCAAGGAGCTAATTATTGAGAAATGGTGGTTGTATGTGTTATAGACTGCATTATTGCAACTTTTTTTTTTCCTCGTCCTGTCGTACTGATGTCTGTATTCTAATTTGCTGTTTTAGCTGTGTTGTACATCATAGTGGGACTTTCTAGGACTCTAGAAAAAAAAATGGAAAAACGGAAGCTCCAATAGTGAAGTACCGCCATAAAATATTTTCATAAAATCTACTTACAAAATTCCAATAACAACTCGTGTATAACAAGCGCTGCTGGTGCCGACCCCATCTGGTGGGGATGACATCCGCAGTCTCTGCTATATTCTGTAGTACATCCGCAGTCTCTGGCTATATTCTGTAGTACATCCGCAGTCTCTGCTATATTCTGTAGTACATCCGCAGTCTCTGGCTATATTTTGTAGTACATCCGCAGTCTCTGGCTATATTCTGTAGTACATCCGCAGTCTCTGGCTATATTCTGTAGTACATCCGCAGTCTCTGGCTATATTCTGTAGTACATCTGCAGTCTCTGGCTATATTCTGTAGTACATCCGCAGTCTCTGGCTATATTCTGTAGTACATCCGCAGTCTCTGGCTATATTTTGTAGTACATCCGCAGCTCTGGCTATATTCTGTAGTACATCCGCAGTCTCTGGCTATATTCTGTAGTACATCCGCAGTCTCTGGCTATATTCTGTAGTACATCCGCAGTCTCTGGCTATATTCTGTAGTACATCCGCAGTCTCTGGCTATATTCTGTAGTACATCCGCAGTCTCTGGCTATATTCTGTAGTACATCCGCAGTCTCTGGCTATATTTCTGTAGTACATCCGCAGTCTCTGGCTATATTCTGTAGTACATCCGCAGTCTCTGGCTATATTCTGTAGTACATCCGCAGTCTCTGGCTATATTCTGTAGTACATCCGCAGTCTCTGGCTATATTCTGTAGTACATCCGCAGTCTCTGCTATATTCTGTAGTACATCCGCAGTCTCTGGCTACAGTGGGGATCGAAAGTTTGGGCACCCCAGCTAAAAATTTGTATTAATGTGCATAAAGAAGCCAAGGAAAGATGGAAAAATCTCCAAAAGGCATCAAATTACAGATTAGACATTCTTATAATATGTCAACAAAAGTTAGATTTTATTTCCATCATTTTACACTTTCAAAATAACAGAAAACAAAAAAATGGTGTCTGCTAAAGTTTGGGCACCCTGCAGAATTTTATAGCATGCACTGCTCCCTTTGCAAAGCTGAGACCTGCCAGTGTCATGGATTGTTCTCAATCATCGTCTGGGAAGACCAGGTGATGTCAGTCTCAAAGGTTTTAAATGCCCAGACTCATCTGACCTTGCCCCAACAATCAGCACCATGGGTTCTTCTAAGCAGTTGTCTAGAAAACTGAAACTGAAAATAGTTGACGCTCACAAAGCTGGAGAAGTCTATAAGAAGATAGCAAAGCGTTTTCAGATGTCAATATCCGCTGTTCGGAATGTAATTAAGAAATGGCAGTCATCAGGAACAGTGTAAGTTAAAGCAAGATCTGGAAGACCAAGAAAAATATCAGACAGAACAGCTCACGGGATTGTGAGAAAAACAATTCAAAACCCACGTTTGACTGCACGATCCCTCCAGAAAGATCTGGCAGACACTGGAGTTGTGGTACACTATTCCACTATAAAGGGATACTTGTACAAATATGGTCTTCATGGAAGAGTCATCAGAAGAAAAACCTCTTCTACGTCCTCACCACAAAAATCATTGTTTGAACTTTGCAAATGAACATATAGACAAGCCTGATGCATTTTGGAAACAAGTTCTGTGGACCGATGAGGTTAAAATGGAACTTTTTGGCCGGAATGAGCAAAGGTACGTTTGGAGAAGAAGGGGCACAGAATTTAATGAAAAGAACCTCTTTCCAACTGTTAAGCATGGGGTTGGATCAATCATGCTTTGGGGTTGTGTTGCAGCCAGTGGCACAGGGAACATCTCACGAGTAGAAGGAAAAATGGATTCAATAAAATTTCAGCAAATTTTGGATGGTAACTTGATGCCATCTGTGAAAAAGCTGAAGTTAAAGAGAGGATGGTTTCTACAAATGGATAATGATCCTAAACACACCTCGAAATCCACGGGGGATTACATCAAGAGGCGTAAACTGAAGGTTTTGCCATGGTCTTCACAATCTCCTGACCTCAACATAATTGAAAATCTATAGATAGACCTTAAAAGAGCAGTGCGTAACAGACAGCCCAGAAATCTCAAAGAACTGGAAGACTTTTGTAAGGAAGAATGGGCAAAGATACCTCAAACAAGAATTGAAAGACTCTTGGCTGGCTACAAAAGGCGTTTACAAGCTGTGATACTTGCCAAAGGGGGCAGTACAAGATATTAACTCTGCAGGTGCCCAAACTTTTGCAGATGCCATTTTTTTGTTTTCTGTTATTTTGAAAGTGTAAATGATGGAAATAAAATCTAACTTTTGTTGACATATTATAAGAATGTCTAATCTGTAATTTGATGCTTTTTGGAGATTTTTCCATCTTTCCTTGGCTTCTTGCTTCTTTATGCACATTAATACAAATTTTTAGCTGGGGTGCCCAAACGTTCGATCCCCACACTGTACACACACACACACACACACACACACACACACTCACACACACACACACACACACACTTACACTTTTTTTTACTACTTCTATAGCGCCGTCAATTTATGCACACATAGACAGATAGATGGATCGTTTCAATGTGTATGTATTCTCAAAACTTTCTTTTTTAGTTGGAGCTAGACATGGCTCACATCTGTGTGTTTCCAGAACATGCAAACAATTTGCATCACACTTGTCCTTGAATGTTAATGGCACACCAAACCTTTTACTGCATTTGTCATGCAGGGCATCCCATTGAAGTCAATGGGCTGCCCTGTGTGTATTTGCAAAAGAAAATGCACAAAAAACGCACATTTTAAAATATGCTAGGTGTGAATGGGGCCTTAAGGAATGGTTATAGTTTTGTTGTCTTGATCATTTTGGGGCTGATTGTTTGTTTGTTTGTTTTTCACTTTGTCTTGGAGGTGAAACCGGAAGTGAAAGGAAATCTGTCCGCTTAAAAACTCTGAAATTAAGCACCTCCCAAAACGTTCTGGCTAGAGTTACAGTGGTCATCGGGGAAATAGAGGGGTGAAGTGGGTCCCTTTCCACTCTATACTTAGATGTACTTTAAACCACCATTGAATTGGATAACCATATATTGGGGATGTCGTATGATATGCCATCCCTGTCCATGATAATGGATGACAAGAGGATAAAGAGCTAAATCTAGTTTAAAATAAATATATTAATTGTTAATCTTTTTTAGTGTTTAGATAATTAGATAATTTTAATTCTCTGTTTTTGTAAATGTTGGTAATTGGAGACAATTCATGTTTATGCATGTTTACATATTTGTCACCAATATGCTTTAGATATACCGTATTTTTTGCTCCATAAGACGCACCTGACAATAAGACGCACCTAGGTTTTAGAGGAGGAAAACAAGAAAAAAAAAATTCTGACCCAATGGACTGCAGACATAGTACAGGAGATGACCAGAGACTGGCAGGAGATGACACTGGGTACATGGTACAGGAGATGACCAGAGACTGGGACATGGTACAGGAGATGACCAGAGACTGGGGACATGGTACAGGAGATGACCAGAGACTGCTGGGGACATGGTACAGGAGATGACCAGAGACTGCGGACACGGTACAGGAGATGACCAGAGACTGCGGACATGGTACAGGAGATGACCAGAGACTGCGGACACGGTACAGGTGATGACCAGAGACTGCGGACGTGGTACAGGAGATGACCAGAGAGTGCGGACGTGGTACAGGAGATGACCAGAGAGTGCGGAGTGGTACAGGAGATGACCAGAGAGTGCGGACGTGGTACAGGAGATGACCAGAGAGTGCGGACGTGGTACAGGAGATGACCAGAGAGTGCGGACGTGGTACAGGAGATGACCAGAGAGTGCGGACGTGGTACAGGAGATGACCAGAGAGTGCGGACGTGGTACAGGAGATGACCAGAGAGTGCGGACGTGGTACAGGAGATGACCAGAGAGTGCGGACGTGGTACAGGAGATGACCAGAGACTGCAGACCTTTGGGGAGCGGAAGGGGGGGGGGGAAACGGGTACCTGAATTTGACAGGTACCCGCTTCCACTTCCGTGGAGTTGTCCTCCCTCCCCGTCTTCTGGGACACGTGACATGTCCCAGAAGACTGCTGGACCATTCACAAAGTGCAGCACTTCTCGCGCATGCGCAGTGGGCACCTGGCTGTGAATCCGCAAGCTGGCACACTAAAGATGCCGGTGCCAGGCAGAGAAGACTGTGACACCGCTGGACCGAGGAGCAGTTTTTCTGCTGCACAGAAGATCTGAGCGGCCGGTCCAGTATTCCAATGCAACGGGAATACCGGGCCGGACGCTCCATATTTGCTCCATAAGACGCACAGACGTTTTCCCCAATTGTTTTGGGGGAAAAAATGTGTCTTATGGAACGAAAAATACGGTAAATGTAATGTTGTTCTGCCATTTTTGTTAAGTCATTGCATCTGATTTTTAATGTTCGATTTAGGGCCCATTCACACTAAACTGTTCTGTTGCCATGGGTTAATGCACACTTGCTAACGTGTTATGGCATGCCTTAGCATGCATTGTCTTACCCTTTTTTCCAAAATGCCAAGTGAAGTGCACACACAATATATGCGCAGTGGTGCACTGCATTCCGTTGGACTCTATACTGTACAGTGCATGGTGCCAGTCAGTGAATTGTAATGTAATTCACAGCATATAGAGCAGTGTGCATGGGCCTTAAAGTTTTTCAGCCCTTTTTTATTTTCACACAATTGGTTTGAAAATCTAGATGATTACTATATACGTGACGAATGCTGTTATTGTAAGCTTATTGTGCTCTTCAGCATATATTGCAGTTTATGAGCACAGTTGTTGCCGATATTTATCTCCTTATGTTTATTTTTATGTACCCTCTGACGTTGACCCTATAATTTTCAAGTTGCAACACGCTTGGAAACACATTTGTAAAATAGTAATGAGGGAGAGTGTAATCTAAGTAGTTGCACACACCCTTCAGTATGCAGGTACTGAGCTATTTATATATACATCATCAGAGCACTGGATCACAAGCAAGTAAGCGTGTCTCCTTTTTCTTCCCTTGCAGCCTAAGATGTCAAATGTCTAGAATAAATGGCGTCCAAAGTAACAGATGCAATAGTTTGGTACCAGAAAAAGGTAAGACTTTGATCAAAGTTTTTGAACTTTTTTTGTTTTTTCTTTTGCATATTTTTCTTTTTTTTCTTTTGCTTAAAATCTCAAGATACACTGATAATTTGAGCATGTACTGTATATGCATATATTTTATACATTTCTTTTTCTTAATATTATGTAATGATGGTATATATACAGTTTTGCTCTTTAGTAAAGCACTTGCAACCACTGGTTTACTTTATTGCTATTGTTATTGCTTTATTGTGTCTATAATGACTGGGATGCCTAGATCTTTAAGGTTTTCGAAAACTATAGGCAGCATAAGATTATGCCATAGTCAGGAGAGGATGCTTTTCTGGAGTCAATGTGTTATTATTCCTTCTGATGAGTTAAAAAAAACAAAAAAACAAACAATCATGGAATTCTTAGCATCATGTTAATGTGTTCTTTCATAAATTTCATATCATGAGCTCAAATATTAATTACAGCTAATTTGCTGCTACCCTCCCTAAAGTAGCTAACTGGCAACTACTGGATATTAAACCGCTTCTGTTGTTCATACAGTCATGATCTGGTTACATGGCTGTTTTTGGAGATTGTGCTTCTCTAGCCACACATGCATTATATAGCCCCTTTGTACTGGATTCTTCTGAAATGTTACTAGGCATGTAATGGTTTTTTTTCTTATACTCAAAACCAAAAAAGTAACATATTGCTGCTTGCTTATTATTATTATATGTGGTGGATGTATTCGTTTTCCTTCTTTAGGCATTTTTTCCCTGGTGATCTGGCCTGTAATCCACCTCTTTGTTATGCAGACACCACTCTGGATGAATTAGCACAGGGGGCACCTTTTTGGACAGCAACATTGTCAGTCGGGAGGGGGGGGGGGGTAGAGGTATTAGCAGATTTAAATGACAAATACAATTTGAATTCCAGCTAATACTTGTATAATCAGTTACAGCAAACCGTTTTTTTTTTCCCTTTTGGGATAAAGATGTAACCTAAAAGCTGGTCATTTGATGCACCCCTGCCAGTGTTGAGTTCTCCATCTCATCCCTGTAACTTCAGGACAGGTTTTCTGTTAGGAAAAAAAAAAGACTTACTGATTGGATCACCAGATGAAAATAGAAGAAAGCTTAAAAAAGAAAACTAATACAGCCATTTTATCTAAGAATAGGTAAGCTGCAATATAATAAATAATATAAATGTTTGCTATTGGGTTTAATACTGCTTTAAGTACTAAACCTAGAATGAAGCCGCTTCTGCTGTGTGCTGAATTGCAACTTGCTAGGAGACAAAAAGGGCATGGCAGTGTGTTTCTTGAGTTACAGAGAGACTTCTGACTCCTCATATACTATGCCCTTCTTTAACTCTGCTGCTGCGTTTTCAGATAGGTGATAAGAGAAGACAATAGAAGAAGGGTAACAGAAAATTAAACAAACTAATGCTGGCCATACATACAGACATTTGAGACAATGTCAACAATTTTCAACCTGCATTTGTAATAAAGAGCCTTTCTTCTTTTTGCTCTTTCCATTGATCTAACCTAACCCACCCCCCCTACAGATAGACTTCTATGGGGCTGTGTTCTGAGGCTGGTTTGATTGGCAATGATTCCATAGACGTTTGTGGGGCTCTAATACGCAGGCATGGCCAGGGTGGGGAAGACTTGTGGCACAGGATATAGACAGATGGTGTACACATGGATCTAGGGGAGTATGCATCCATAGAGTGAACGAGTTTACATTCCTGTACAATCAGATGGGTGAGCATTGATAGATTTGTAGACCTCCACCATGACCCTAGCAGATTCTTATCTGATTTGCATTTTCCGGACTGATAACTGTTGCTTCCTTAGGTACAAATATGCAGTTTACCAGATGCAAAGTAGAATGATTTGTTGAAAACCCATCTGATGACTTTGTGCTCCACAGCCAGCTGCCCTTACAAATGCCAGACCTTTAAGGTCATTAACCATAACCTGTTTTTAATTCTACTTTTTGCTGCTAATGTATATCCTGCAGTCTGTCCTTAACTTTGCCAGAGTGGTAAATTGTCATATTTAGGGATAATACTCATTGCTTTGGTGAAGTGTTGCCAGCAGGTCTAGAACATATAGCTAGAACTGAAATTTGTAACCTTAAGGCTACTTCATATTAAAAAGTGTGGAAATGTACTCTGTAGGATAGGATAGTCACACTTTACATTTTATCCAGCTGTGATAAATAATGTGCAGTATTTCGTCATTATTTGTTGCACATTGTATGTCTCGTGTCGTCTGGATGTCAGAATGTGTAACAAACACAGTGAGTCAGATATATGTAATCCAGATGGATGATTGGCTTATGTGAAGGTAGTAATTGCTCACATGGAATTAATTGCAAACCTATAATAGACACACAAGAACAATGTACATTTGTAACATACTCACATGGGCGAGATGAAAGTTTTTCGGTTTGTAAATATTCAGTAATACCAGCTGTGTCTAAATTGATTTAACCTTTAGGGTGATCATGAGAGGATAAAAGCAGCGAGGGTTTTGCATAACACAACAGCCCTTGCAGCCACTTATGATGTTAAATAAAACATTCTGCAGGCATCATTTCTTGGTATGCAGCTTTGCCTGGCAGAATACACTAAAATCTGTTATATTTTAAGCTTGGCTATTTTGAAGTGCCCATCGTCTGGAGTACAGCACTGGTTGTTTTCGGTGAAAAATATACAGCTCTCTCAAAGTGTACGTTACCCAAAATGTTCACGTATGGCACTGTTTCTCAACTCCAGTCCTCATGGACCCCCAACAGGTCATGTTTTCAGGATTTCCATTATTTTGCACAGGTGATTTGATCAGTTTCACTGCCTTAGTAATTACCACAGCTGTTTCATCTGAGGGAAATCCTGAAAACATGACCTGTTGGGGGTCCATGAGGACTGGATTTGAGAAACACTGACGTATGGCAACTTAATAATACTTAGATGTGGTGGCTGCATTAGTTTTATTAATCTTTTTTTTTTTTCTTTTTTAACCTTGAAATTTTGCAAATAACACTTCCTGTGCTTGGGCAGCAATGCTCACTCCACTGTATCTATGGAGGGAGTTGTGCAGGTTGCTGTCCTGATCTGGGCTACAAACACGTCATCTTCTCAATCTCTATTAAAAGGAAGGGGGTTAGGTAGTTCACAAAAGATACAGTATCTCTTGGCAAGTTTGTGTTTTTTTTTCATTCATCCCAAAAGAAATTATGGCCCTACATTTTTGGAAGGATCAACAGGTGTTCTTTCCATTTGATGAAAATGTTCTTAGTCTGAAAAATGAACATGAAAGCAGGCAACACTTCTAAGGAGTGGTAAACCGCAATATATTTTTGGTCAAATAATTTTGGTCCTAGGTATTAGATTTCCTTAAAGTAAAAAAAAAAAAAATCCCTACATCTATCCTATATAGAGATGCTGATAGCAGAACTTTGCTGTGTTTTTTTTTTTTTTTTTTTTTTTTTTTACTAATTTCGGTGCACCTCTATCAGCAACTACAGTACTTATACCTGCTGGCCTTCATTTTTTTTTTTTTAGCCAAGAGAAGTTTTTCCTAACTACTTAACCCCTACTTTAAGGCTCCATGCACACTGGCTTAAAAACACTTACCCACTTCGATAATTTTTCCCTTTTCATGTATAGTTACCAGCATCTGGAAGTAAGCATAATCTCTAAAGTGAGGGAAAAGACGAAGATAAAAGCACTTTTATATTTGTCTGCTCTTTTGGAAGTATATAAAAGTGACTCTTCTTTTCAGATTAGTAGCCTGGCAAACTAGAGATAGCAGCAGGTCCCCAATCAGGAAGCTCATACATCTCCTGTGTGAGATCCTTGACCTGTTTAGGAAGTAGTACACTTCCTTATTAGGGCAGCACTAAAGATGTATGCTACTTGTTAAAAATGCCTAGTCACATCACAGGGAATTGGGGATTATTTCCCCATATCCATCTGTGGTGTTAAGGCTCCATTCACACTTGTCTGACTTCAAAATTGTGCGATTTTCATTACGACGTTACAATGCGACTTTGGCTTTGACCAAGGATGATTGTTTGTTTTGTGCTGTACAAAGTCACATACAAGTTGCATGTTTATTATTCAGGTGCGACTTTCATACAACTTTGGAGGGTTTACATTGAAGTCTATGGACCTCAAGTTGTATGAAAGTCAGACCAAAGTAGTGCAGGTCGCTAAGACATGAATGGTACTCATTAGGAAACATGGGGTGGGGACCCCAAAGTCACATGTCAAGTTACACAAGTGTGAATGGGATCTAAAAGCAAGTTCTTTGAACCAATTTTATCCCGGGGGTGGAGGGATCCTTTTGTACTATTTGGTCAACGTGTGTTTATAAGCTTTTAGAGACATTTCTGAACGCATATACATGCATGTAATGATTTTTCAATAGTGCCATTCACACTGTAAGTTTAAGTGTGGTCAGTTCTGTGCATCCAGGATCAGGCTTTATGAGAAACATCTAAAAGCATAAAAGTTGTTCTTCTCAAATAATTTCTTCACCATGTAGAAATGCCCATGGCACATGCTGTAATTAGTGATCCATTTAACAGGCCTATTAGGCCACATATTATGTGTCTCATATATGGAAGCCAAATCAAATGTTTGCCTGGTGAAACAAAGTTATAGCCAAATAACTAATGGAGAAGATTATATATTGCTCAATCAATTCTGTTTGTATTAATGAATGTATATGCCTAGATTTTTTTTTTTTTTTTAATCCTGGCTCGTAGTAACCAAAATTGTTTGGCTGGCAGTTGGTGTTTTTTTTTACATTATTCAACGAGGTGGCATAGTGGGTATTGCTTCTGAATCTCAGCTCTGTTCTGCATCTGAATCTTTTCAGGGCTGCCATCTACATCGATACACCCATCATTGGTTATGCAATCAGTATTTCCTGCTTCTCAAACTGTTTTTATCCAAGACTTCATTTCGTTTAATGGGGACATATCCAAAATGGTGCAGCGAGAAGACATCGGGACCTGACATTGCTTCCTCTTGATCCTAGCGGTGCAGTGAATCTCCAGCAGCTGGTTTTCTTCCATTATCTGCCTCTGTACCCCAGGGAACATAGAGCAGAAACCAGAGACACTACAGCTGCACTGTGTAACAGCAGTTCTCCGACTCAGGGCTTTGATGGGACACACAGGTGGCTTCACTCAGACTCTGCATCCCTCTCGCCATGTGGTATGTGATGCAGTAAGCATACCTTCCCAGTGCCTCTGCCCCATTAAAAAAAAAAAAAAAAAAAAAAAAAAAAAAAAAAAAACTATATCCCTGCTACCTGAGGTCTAAAAAAAAAAAAAAGACACATCCTGATTTATTGGAGGTGCCCTTGCTGAATTGGGTAACTGAACCTGCATAGCTGGGGACACCTCACACACACCCGTTGCGGCAACGGTCACCTTGTTGCTTATAACCTGCCATCTTCCTGTCTCTATCTCCCTCTCTGTGGATATGCCCAGAAGGAAGCGTGTGCCACCAATTTATTGCACGGGAGCAGATAATGTGCCTTGAGATTGGAAGGGATCTCTTGCAGCTCCATTACTACTGTGAAAATGACTACACCAGATGAGTGTGCCTGATCAGCAACACATGGACTCTGCTACCTTTGCAACAATCATGGCTGCCATCTCCTTCTGCCAATCCACTTTAATTGCTAAATAGACCACCTCCAGTCTGACATAGGTCTGGTCAGAAGGGATTTGGACTCTTTCTGTGACTGCGTTTTTGAGGTCAAACAGCAGGTTTCCTCAAAGGAAGACCAACAGAGAAACCATACTGCTTGCCTCTAAGTAACAGACTTTGGTTTTGAGAGTATAGAGTCATGAGCTGAAGATGTGGAGAACTGCAACTACAGAAATAACCTATGTATACTGGGCCTCCCGGAAGATGCGAAGAGTTCAGATCCCACTTTCTTTACTGAGAGCCTGTTGCTAGAACTGCTTTCCAATGCCACATTCTCTCCGTGCTTCACTGTGAAGCATGCTCATCATATCCCAGTGGTCAAGGACCCTCCTGCACTTTCATATTAAAATTGATTCACTTTAAAGACCGCGATTTGATCCTTCGTGAAGCTTGCTCGCAGGGGGATCTGGTATATGGTAACACCAAACTATACTTCTTCCCTGACCACTCTATAGAAAACCAAATATTGTGGATATTGTTAGATAACATCCAAGCCAAATTGATGGAGAAAGGGCTCAAGTAAAGCGTGCTATTTCCTGCAAAACTTTGAGTTCAAGATGGCGAGATGGTTTGCTTCTCCACTGTGCCAAGGAATGTGGCGTCCTTTACACAGTAATGCAGTTCGTTTTCTTTACCTTGGCCTTTGCCTTTATTGTGCAGTTGATGGACTCCTATGGAGGCCATCAAGAAGCTTGCCTGATACTGGCTGCCTAGCTAAACCGTGGAATATCCACGTGCTACGTTTGATGTCTTCAGTATACTGGCCTTGTAGTTAAATGAAACACTAAACGATTTGCAGTATAATTTAGCATAGATTGTTTCTTACACATAGAAAGATGTACACAAATATTGAGATAAATGCCTATGCAGATCCAGTTTTTGGTAATGAGCTCAAATATTTTTGTTTGAGCAGTTGAAAGAGTTAAAATAAAAGAATGTAGAAGGCTTAAATGCAAACCTAACTTGGATGGGAAAGACATACCTCATGAAATATTGATTGTTTCCACTGCTGTTGCCAAGGTTTAGGGATATTCATTGACATTTGAACTTTGTTATCTTAAGTTCATGTTTGTTTTCTGATAAGTGTGTGTTTTTAAATACCTTTTTATAAAACCAAATAAAAAGAAAGCAATTGCTTAATTATATTGAATTTATTGTACTAGTCTAATGCTTTCTTTAAGCTTGCTTCTCAAGCAAGACTGACAAAGAGTTTGTTGGACTTCATTGTTAATGTGTTAACTAACTGCATTAGTTTTGCATGATCTTTAGCAGACACTCCCAGTACCAGCATTATCTTAGAAGAATGATATTTATTGGACAGCAAAATGAAACCTAGCGCATAGATTTCTTCCTCCCCAAGGAAAATATTAGCTGTAGTCCATAGGTAACTATAGATTTTTGTATAAATTGTCAGAACCTGCTGCAGCCTTTTTAAACAGGCAATAATGATCTTTGGTTGACCTAAGTTTTACTGGCAGTCTCTCAGCTATTCTATTAATCACACATTGTGTAAATACAACATCGTCCACCAGCCCCCTCAAACACTGGATAAGTCAGATCAAAAATATTCAAGGTCTAAACACTCTTGTGAATAAGCATCCCAGACCCTGGGTCACAAGTGGCAATAAGTGTGGCGGAAACCACTCTTCCTCCACCACATGCACACATTGAAGCTGCAGAACATTTCCTGATGCTTTCGGAAATTGCCCTCCATTTTCAGTTATTCCAGTGACTAAGCTATTATGCAGGATGAAATTTCATACTTCACAGTTGGTGTAGTGGCAGCCGTGAAAGGAAAAACAAAGTGCAATTTCTCCTAGTGTGCATTTCAGTTTTTTCTCAATGGTCAATTGAGAGTCACAGGAATTAATAAACAGTTATGTCATGCTGCTGTCTTCAGGAGGTTGGGACACTAGTGACCAGAAATGTATGTCAGCCTCTGTAAACAGCCCCTTCCCCAGCAAGCCCTGGGCTAGCCTGGACTGTGACCTTCAGGCACTGGGCTCTGAATTGTGATGCATTCCAGACATTTGGCGCAGACTTGTTAGCAGTTTTTTTTTTTTTTTTTTTCCCCTACCTGCTCCGTTCAATGATTTTACATAGACCAGCTCTGTACCTCCTCTTCTGACATCTCTCGCTGGCGCTCTCAGCTATTCCTCTTCTGTGTGCCCCAAAAGGAAGCCACTTGCTATGGGAGCATATTATGTGTAGGCTTGTTCCTGAGCTGGGCTTTGTGTGTCCATAAATGCACAGTGTGTCACAGCCCTGCCTCCCGCTCTCCCCTGTCAGCATTTGATTGACAGCAACAGGAGCCAATGGCTCCCACTGCTGCCTGATCCTCCTGTGAGAAGAGAAAAAACTGACCAATACAGGACATGAGTAAGTGTTTGGTGTGGGGGGGGGGGGGGGGGGCCAGTGGAAGTTTTTCTTACATTAATGCATTGATTGCATTAAGGCAAATCTTTTGACCTTAGAACCACTTTAAACTAGGCCTGTATTCCTTGTTGCCTATTTCTGATTTAAATCTGGTTTCTCAAAAGTCTGTCTCAGGAGAAGCTGTTTTTGGTAACTGCTGTCTACTACAAGGGGTTGTTTCTAATCTTATTAATGCAGTACATATTACTCTGCATCTGGAGTACCACTCTGTAGAAGAAGGAAAGACCTAAGGCCTGCAACAGCAAACACCTTTTCTGCCACAGCCACTTTTTTTTAATCCTTTCTCTGTGCAGATTAGAAATGCCCTGAATGTCCTGGGCATCACCTGAGAGTGTGGAGGAGCATTTGCTGTTTGAGAAGGAATCTCTTAAAGGAGGTCCCTCTGCTTTGGGCATTGAGCAGCTGGATGAAATGCATGGAGCCTTGTACTTTTAGTTGTGTCTGCTTTTAAATAGCTTTAAACTTGTGTGTATCGTGGGACTAATGTCTACTAATTTGAGCAGTGGAACTATGTGCGTGGGGCACTAATTAGACATCAAAGAATACCTGATTGCTTTCCCTTTGAGGAACATCTCTTCAGACATGTTCTTGATATAGTCATTGGCAACACCCAATTTAGCAAGTGTGCTTCTGCCTGAACACAGGAGATCTGTGGACATAACAGAGAAATCCCACACTTTTTTTCCTCAGCTCTACAGTAAGTGGGAATTTGGCTGTGAAGGTGTATGATAAATCAGATCATATGGCACAGAGCTGGAGGTCCGCTTATAATTTTGATAGGCATTCTGCATGAAGGTGTCTCTACTTCCATGTGTAGGGGCTGTGTGTACACCCAGACAGGTCCTTGGGTACTTTGCTTCTCTAATATTTGGGTGATCAGGACAGAAGGATACATTTAAATTAGGACACCCCTTTTTAGCTTCTTGGCTAAATCCTTGTGTGTATCATCTATATTGGATGCCTCTCATATTCCTCCTTGTGCTACTGCATCCGCCAGTGCATTTTGCTAGACCTTCTTGGGTTACCTACGTATTGGAACCCCTTGTTCCTTGACACCCTGGCACCCCTTTTTCCCATGCAGGTGGGAAATTTGTATTGAGAGTTTTATCCCATTTGGGATTACATTCTCAGTATTGCACCCCCTGCAGTTTTTCATATCCCTTATACCTTCTTGGGTTACCTAGATATTGGAACCCCTTGTTCTCTGGCACCCCTTTTCCCATGCAGGTGAAATTTGTATTGAGAGTTTTATCCCATCTGGGATTACATTCTCAGATACTATTGCATCTCTTGCCGTTTTTGATATCCCTTATACTTTAGAAAATTTACAATACATCAATTGTTACTGTTAAAATTAAAACCTTTTAAAATGCACAGTACTTGGTAAGGAGGTCAGCTGACCTATATTGAATAGTGATGTGTGTGTTTAATAAATAGGGGCTGTATGGTGGTCTTAATCCGTTCTAAACAATCAGACAAGTATGGCAAGGCAAGTTTGCTTACTTTCTTACACAAGTTTGAATTTTTGAAAAACTTGTATTATTATAACAGTTTGTTTTTATTCTTGTGGATATACTCGAATTGTAATGAAGTTTTGATATGTTTTGTCTTCATTTGCCATTTCGGGTGTTTTCCTTTTTGTAATTACCAAAAATATTTCTTTTTAGATTGGAGCCTATGACCAGCAAATATGGGAAAAATCCGTAGAACAAAGAGAAATAAAGGTAAAGTTACCGGATTACTTATTTTGTTTTCCGAAAGATTTTTATAGATCTTATGTCCAATCTACATTCACAGAGCGCATTTCTGTGATCATCTGGAAGCTGTAAAGCTTCTAGATGTTGTGCTTGTACCTCAGTAAACGCCCATAAGCTGTTGTATACCTCAACTTTGGTGACTGCATGTTTTGCATATGATCATAATAAGTATCATACAGCCTACCCTAGAACAGAGCCCTCTAGCAGTGCGCTGTCGCAGCTGTCAGCACTCCCAACTTTACCCAGTCTTCCTTCTGGGTTTGTGCTTTCCAGCCTTTTGAATGGCGGGGCAGCAATGAAGTCACTCCTGCACATGTAAGTCACGGTCACCGCACACACTCTCAATGAACGGCATACTCCACACTTACCTGTAGGTACAAGGCATAAAGCAGAGTTTATTACAGCCTTAACCGTGTCTACACAATACAGCTTTCATGACGAGAAGATTTTATGAGCGTAGTATTTGTAGATTGGTAATGTTAGTTTCACTGGGATACAATATTTTAAAACCATAGATGTTTTTCTCTGTCTTGTATATGGTTTTTACACAAAAGGCACATAAGTATAGTCCACGAATTACTGGATAATAGTCTGATCTGGTTGGTGTTAGGCTCCATACACAAGTGTTTTTTTAGGCTCCTAGAAGCTATTAGCATTTTTTTCCAGCTTCTAGAAGCTAAATAATGTTACACTATGTGTCCATGCACGCTACTTTAGGCTGTTAGCATTTTTTTAGCTAGTTCTAGGAGCAGAAAAAAGGTTTTTGTAGAGTTTTCTTTGGGTCATTTTTCAAGCAGAAAAAAAATCCTAAACGCTGCTAAAATGCTGCTAACTTTTTTTTCTAGCTTTTTTTTTTTCCTCTACATGTACTGTAAAAACTCTAATAAAACACTAATGCTCCTAGACGCTATTAAAAAACGCTATTGCCAGCGATTTATTTATGGCGTTTTGAGCTTAAAAAAATGCTAGTGTGCATGCAGCCTTAGAGTGGCTCATTTTTGGGCATCAGGTTATATTGAGAGCAGAGTATCGCATGCTTATTCTATGATATAAATCCACATCTCATGCTTAAATACAAGGTTGCAGTTTATAAGCAATGCCATACTGGCCTTCAAATAAATTTTTACAATAAAAAGCAATGGATTATGCATTCACGTCAGATTTCAATGAGTAGTACCCAGACATATAAATGAATAATATGCAGCTCTCAAATAATGTATCTAATAACTAAAAAAAAAAAAAAAACCACCAATTGTTAGTGTTACTTTTTGTTTAGTATTATAGTATCTATTTAGGCCAACATAATTCATTTTATTGATGGTGTTCTTTTGTGATTGTATACAGTTCATTAAAATGGTGAGTAGCAAACCCTGCATAGTTTGTGGTGCCTAACTACGAATGACCTGAGCAATTCTTGTATCATTGTAAAGTAGTATGCAACAAAACAACCACAGTATTGTCCATGATTTGCAGATTGTGACTTTTTAACAGTTTGTCCTTTTGCAATTTAATATGCCTGATTGTCTTAGTAAACTACATTTCTAAATCACAACTCAGATTGCATGCCAGAATTTTGGTAAATGTTGTTTTTTTGTTTTGTTTTTTTTTTTTTAACACTGAATTACATTAAAAATGGGTGGGTACTCACATGATGATAAATGAACTAAGCTTTTGGTAAGAGCCTTAAGTTACTAACTGTGATTGCCATGCCCTTTACTTAACCTATGTTTTGGCATTGCAATATTGTATAGGCCGATTTGCATGTTGTAAATTCACACTTGTTTCATCAAGCATGATAAAAAAAAAAAATTCAAGAGCCTCATCCTTTGTGATTTCTAAGTTGATGAAGCAATGCTTATACCCATCTGGTATACACTTTTTTAAAGTGTAACTAAAGGCAATTTTTTTTGTTTTAATTTTGGATAAGTAAGGGCAGGTTATAACCCCCATCCCTTTGTTTCTTGGTCATTTGTGTCCCATTAGGGAGATTTCCCTTCACTTCCTGTCCCGTAGCTAAAACAGGAAGTGAAAGGAAATCCCTTCAAAGTGAGGGAATCCCGTTGTGTCAACAGAACTAGTGTCCCTGTTGGAAGATTTCCCCTCGTGTTCTGATGTCAACCCAAAATTTGGGATTTTCTTTTGCTTTCACTTTCTATGAGAACTATATACAGGAAAAATAGAGGGGGTTAATCTCCCTAACAGGTGCTCAGACAGCATTAAAAACTTACAGGCATTGTAATTCCTCATTACTCCTTCCAAAACTTTAGTGTTTATCGGCGTTTTGCCGCATTTTTTCGCATTAGTGTTTTTAGAGGTTTTTTTTTTTTATTTTAATACAAAAAAAAATTTTATTGGTCAAAAAAAAAGTCCAAAACAATGCTGGTTCACCACGTTTTGCTGCAGCGTTAGAGCATTTTTACAGCTTAAAAACTCCTCTAGGAACCCACTAGTTCTGGGCAGTCAAAAAAAGCCTTTGCCAAAAAACATTGATTACAGTCTGTGTGCATGGACACATAGGATAATATGCTGGGGAGTTTACTGGCTGTAGAAAAAAACATCAATCTATTGATCGACTTGTGTACAACCAGTCTGTCAGGTTTTTCCTGAACGAACAGTGCTGCCTGCTAAAGTCTCTAACACTGATCATTGTATTTTGATTGTTGGGAAGGCTCCCTGCTGTCAGAATACAATACCACAGGAGGAAGGATTCACAGGTCCACCTTGAATGTGGAGAAAAAAATTCATGAAACACAATCTATAAATGAAGGACCCGGAACTTTCATTCTTCAGCCCGACCTTCATTCATAGATCTTCTTTTTTTATTGATGGAAGCTATAGTACAGGTTTCGTGAATGGAGGAGGTGGGCAGAATGGTCGGGCATAGTCGGCACTCTTGACAAGTGCCTATGACGAGCACTGTGAATTGATAAAGAAAACAATTGGACCGCGCTGAGTCAAAAAACAAAAACAAAAAAAAAACGTGCATATATCCAACATATCAAAAACCAGTCCAAAATTAGTGAACCAAGTGCTTGTACTTGTGCTCAGCAATTTCTATATCTTGATAAATGAATCCTCTCCAAAAATGTGCACCACTGTGCTCGACAAGTGCCCCCACACGGACTCACTCACCCCTGACAAGCATTGGATCATTATGACTGCAAGGTGGGGGGGGGGGGTAGAGTATTTCAGACTTGGATTAATATAACAGCCAGCAGCACAAGGGACGCTTTGCATTGAATGCACCGTCCCTTATGCTTTTTTTTTTTTTACCAAACTTCGGTTTTAAAACTACTGCACAGTCCGTAAACGTTACACTATATTACATTTTTATGAGATCGGCTATCAAAATGAAATTGATTTTTGATTATTTCCCCACAATTTAACAGATTAAATATATCTGCTGCACACACTTTTAGAAATTCTTTCAGCTTTATTGTAAAAAGGAAAATTCCCATCATTCCAAATCTCTACCTCGAACACACAGTAAAACCCATGCAATAAAGTATGGAGGTAAGGAATAGGAGAACTAAGTACAATTCAGAATGCCATCCACACAATTCCATCCCTGGGACATCCCAGGCATCTAAAAAATGACACCATGCTCCTTCTCCCAGAGTCTACCATCTGCAAGTTTAAAAAGTATTGCTGGTATTATTCATAATCTGTTAGACTACAGGGCTGTGTGTTTTCTATTGATGCAGACGGCGTAGGGAGACACAACTCTGGGCCCTGCATTCCAAGGTGCTCCAAAGGACGCTGCAAGAGAAGCCCTTCTGAAACCGTAAACCTGGGGCAGCAGTCATGGCACCAACTTAAAGGCATAGTTTGCCTTTACAAAAAGAACTGCCTATGCAGACAAGGGGCACCTATAGATGACAACAAGCTGTGCAGCTTTGATCAAAATTGAAAAATGCCTTTGCTATAGGCGTAGGCCATTTACGTACCTCATGAACCCTGACTTGAAAACTCCCATGATGTTGCTATGACATTACTAAACAAGGCCCAGCTATTACTGTTCACCTTCATCATCACAAGCGTAAGCTCTTTCTCTTATTCAAACCCCCTCATATGTGCTTTCTCTCCCCCGATTCAGTAGCTCAGAGCTTTGAGAGCTCACTCCTGTGATGGAGAAGATGAACAGTAATTGCTGGGCCTTGCTTAGCATCATAGGAACATTCTGGATACTTTCAGGTCAGGCTTCACAAGATACGTACAGTTGCAAGAAAAAGTATGTGAACCCCTTGGGATTACGTGGAGTTTTGCATGAATTGGGCATAAAATGTGCTCTGAATGTCATCTAAGTCACAACAATAGAAGAACACAGTCTGCTGAACATAATACTACACAAACATTAGATGTTCCCATGGTTTAATTGCACATAACATGTAAACATTCACAGTGCAGGGAGGAAAAAGTATGTGAGTCCCTAGCTTAATGACTTCTCCCAGAGCTAATTGGAGCTAGGAGTGAGCCAACCTTGACTCCAATCAGTGTGATGATATTGGATGTGTTGCTGACAGCTGTCCTGCCCTTAAAAAACACACACCTGTTTTGGGTTTACTGGTTTCAAGAAGCACTCTCTGATGTGAACCATGCCTCGCAGAAAAGAGCTCTCAGAAGACCTATGATCAAGAATTGTTGACTTGCATGAAGCTGGAAAGGGTTACAAAAGTATCTCCAAAAGCCTTGATGTTCATGTGTCCACAGTAAGACAGACTGTCTACAAATGGAGAAAGTTTAGCACTGTTGCTACTCTCCCTAGGCGTGGTCGTCCTGTAAAAATGACTGCAAGAGCACAGCGCAGAATGCTGCATGAGGTAAAGAAGAATCCCAGAGTGTCAGCTAAAGACCTACAGAAATCTCTGGCACATGCTAACATTTTTGTTGACACGTCTACAATAAGGAAAACATTAAACAAGAATGGAGTACATGGGAGGACACCACGGAGGAAGCCATTGCTGTCCAAAAAGAATATTGTAGCACGTTTGAAGTTTGCAAAAGAGCACCTGGATGTTCCACAGCACTACTGGCAAAATATACTGTGGACAGATGAAACCAAGATTGAGTTGTTTGGGAAGAACACACAACACTATGTGAGGAGAAAAAAAGGCACAGCACACCAACATCAAAACCTCATCCCCACTGTAAAACATGGCGGAGGGAGCATCATGGTTTGGGGCTGATTTGCTGCCTCAGGGCCTGGACGGATTGTTGTCATTGATGGGAAAATTAATTCCAGTTTATCAAGACATTTTGCAGGAAAACGTACGACCATCTGTCCGCCAACTGAAGCTCCGCAGAGGATGGGTGATGCAACAGGACAATGACCCAAAGCATACAAGTAATTCTTCAAAACAATGGCTGCCACAGCACAGAATACGCCTTCTGGAGCGGCCCAGTCAGAGTCCTGACCTCAACCAGATTAAAATGCTGTGGCATGACCTTAAGAGAGCGATTCACACCAGACATCCCAAGAATATTGCTACACTGAAACAGTTTTGTGAAGAGGAGTGGTCCAAAATTACTCCAGATCGTTGTGCAGGTCTGATCTGCAACTACAGGAAACGTTTGGTTGAGGTTATTCCTGCCAAAGGAGGGTCAATCAGTTATTAAATCAAAGGTTCACATACTTTTTCCTCCCTGCACTGTGAATGTTTACATGTTATGTGCAATTAAACCATGGCAACATCTAATGTTTGTGTAGTATTATGTTCAGCAGACTGTGTTCTTCTATTGTTGTGACTTAGATGACGTTCAGAGCACATTTTATGCCCAATTCATGCAAAACTCCACGTAATCCCAAGGGGTTCACATACTTTTTCTTGCAACTGTAAATGGCCTACACCTACCTGCATAGCAAGGGCATTATTCAAATTTAGTCAAAGCTGCAGTTTGTTTGTATTTACAGACGCCCCTTATCTGCATTGGCAGGTTTTTGGTATAGGTGTAGTAAGCCTTTGAACAGGAACATAGCCAAGGATTAAAAGATGATGAAAGTGCTTAAGCTGAGGGTTTAAATAAATAAATAAAAAAAGATGATGAAAGTGCTTAAGCTGAGGGTCAATTAAAATATATACACACACACCGACTAGTAAACCTTGATAATGCCAAGAAAATATCCCCCAAACCATTCCATTCCCACCACCAGCCTGATCCGTAGATACAGGCAAGATGGATCCATGCTTTCATGTTGTTTACACCAAGTTCTGACCCTAAAATCTGAATGTTGCAGCAACCAGTCTGCCCATTCTCTGACCTCTGCCATCAACAAGGCATTTTCACCCACACAGCTGCCGCTCACTGGTTATTTTCTCGTTTTTGGACCATTCTCTGCAAACCCTAGAGGTGGCTGT